TCACCTGCGTAGTGTATAAAGACGTGCAGGCCCGCATTCGGCTTACTGCTCAACGGGAGACAGAGAGACACACGGAAACTAGTGGAGCGTAAACAGAAGAGAGAGAGAGAGAGAGAGAGAGGCGCCCAGCAGAGAAGAAGGAGAGAGACACCAGTTGCCAAAAGAGGAAGTGAAGACAGGTCGGTAACTACCTTACTAACACACACCACACACACCACACACACACAGAAAAAAATCTATTTCCTTACATTCTCTCAGCTCAGATAAGCATCTTGATACTCAACCAGAGTCACAAACAACATAACCTGTTACATCCTGTTATACCTCACAATGTCTCTGAAGAGAGATAATAGTACAAACGTTACTGATAGTTTGCAGCCTCACAACAGGACTCTTTCAGTCTTTAAAGACTCGTCCAGGTACCTGATTTAAAGTGTTTCATCTCACAGACACTGGAGAGGGTCACAAGCATATTTTACAGACATTTAGAAAATGTATTTTGGTTTTCTAATCACAAACTAGTTACCAAGCAAACAGACCAGTCTAAATGACAGGGGATGTTCACACTTAAAGTATGTCTTATCAAACTAGAACACATGAAGTTGTTTTAGGTTAAATATTGAGAGGGTAGTGGGAGAATTAGTGCTGATTTGTTTTCCTCATTAATGTAGCAATTGCAATCACATTTAAAATATCCTTAATCCTAAATAAAAAAGATTGTTTTAGTTAATTAAATGACAGCCTACTTACTTACTTATTCACTCTAAAGTATATTGCTGTTGCCAATATATAGCCATAAAGTCACAAAAATGTCCATTTATTGACATAGATGGAAGGAGTGCTCAAATATTTCACTTAATTAAAGAAATAGTCTCTTTCAAGTACAGTCTAAAATGTAACTAGGTCACTGAGTCAATTTTAGATGAACATTTGTAATATTATTTAAAAAAATGTATTGATGGTTAAATGTATAAATCAATAATGTTGCAGCTTATATGCAGTTTTTTTATCATGTAAAAAGTAGCAGAAAGTACAAGTACCTGAACATTCTACATAAGTACAGCAAGTCATATTTCACCTCTGGATGGTGCCATGTGTAGTGAGTACTTATGAATGAACCACACAGATGACCTGTGATCAGTGTGCCTCTGTCCCCCTCTGCAGGACATCCTCAGCAGCCTGATCACCCACTGGGAGGTGAGCATGTGGATGAAGAATCTAGTCCCATGATGAGGTTAATGCTAATCGTGATAGGGGTTGTTTATTACCAGACACCTAACATGTTAGCATTAGCTTCACTCTGGGAGATCTCACATTAAAACTAACCAGAAGGAGCAACATCCGAGAGTATGTAAGAAGTCATTAAACTCAATGATTCAAAAACAGGCACAACGCATGGACCAACACTCACTAGAATATCCATCTCTGAAGATGTCGAGATACTAAGTTCTTAGCTTTGATTATTATTTGGTGCAACACATATTAGAGATCAACATGGTTTAAAAAGTACAAACATTCTGTTGGTACAGCAGTTACTTGTGACCTCTTTACAGGGACTTATTTAACTTTCACTTATGTGCAGATTGACTTCTTCCTGCATCCTTTATTATTCAGTTTAGTGTGTATTTCAAGTTTACAGCATAACTCTGCTCATTTAAAATATAAAAAGGGGTCCAATTAAGGAAATTGAAAGCCGCAAGCATGGTGAAACACATGTGTGCCATGAGCTCATGAAGAGGGAAAGAGGGTAATCAATCCCAACCATGTGCTTTAAATCCTTGCTATTGAATGTAAATGAAAGATGAAGTGCTTCTTTTGTGGGAAGATCCTCATGTTGACAGAGATAAAACATAACAATTAACCCGTGACAATAACGTCACTGCCAGTAACATAAAAATCTTGTACTTTGCATTTATGAAATATGGCATTCACAATATGATATTAAACATTTTGTTTTTTGAGTTGAAGAGGATTTTAATAGCCACTTTTAACTCAGCAGATTGTGATCGATTATTGTCCCTTTTTTTTTTGTGTAATGGATCTTTTTCTGAAAAATGTGCTCCACCAGAGATAACTGTATATGTAAGCAATTAAAAACTAAGAAAATAAACTCATAGCAAACCCAATAACGGTTTGAACTTTAAAAACATTTAATTTTCAAACCAGAGAATATGCTGAGACTTGGTTCTTAATAATTCACCTTTGTCATATTGTGTTTATTTTACAGTATGCTTGTTAAAATCATAAATAAATAAAATCAAAGACAAACATCTGAATTTTTTCCTTTTCTGATATGTATAATTTTGTGTTTGCATCATAAATTAATTTTGCATCCAGTTTCCCGTGAAGTCCATGTCAAAAGCAAGAAATAGACCATTAAATTATAAATAAGAAAGATGTGGGCGGCACTTTGAACCCCCATCCAGCCGAGTCGCACACATTTCTGCAGTTCAGCCGTCATTTGTGCTGCGTTAGTCTTGCGACAGAAACCCTATGTAATCTTTTAAACCACTTTATCATTAGTTCAGAGTCTCTGAAAATGAGAGGATTACAGCCTTGGCTCCCTAAATGCAGAATATACAGGATGTTAAAGAAAATCCACCCATACTGACACATCCATCCAAAGACTATTTTAAAATGCATCCATTGAATAACAATTCAATATTGAGCTCAGGATTCAGTGGAGGATTTTTAAACTGTTCTTTAATTAAGGGGTTAACTTATTGTTAAGAAGTAAACGTGTCCCCATAAGGTCTGTGCATGCTGGGCACAGTATGGTTCTTAAGGTGATCTCTGAGTCGATCTGGTTTTTCAGTTTGTCACCACATCAACAGGGCAGACCACAGACATATATCCCAACTTGTGTTGCAGGTCAAGCCATGTAGCTACAGACAAAACATGTATTATTAAATTAAACTCTTGAAGAAACACACTCCTCAATGTCAGTTTTGGTAATTTATTGACAAGGATGACGACACCTTGAAACAGAGTAATGCAGCAAGATAAGCTGACAAAGTATTACATCATGCAATTTAATCAACACAAATATATACCACGAAACAGAGTATAGTAGTATAATAGTATAATATATATATAGTATAATATATAGTATAATATGATAGTGGAAACAGTCTTACATGAATGAGTGGACGAACGTCTCAACTCGAGGCGGAGTGAATGAACAATGTTTGAACTAAAATGGCCGCTCGGCACTACCGGGTCAGAGCACGGCATAACCGGGCAGCGACAGCAGTGACACTGCCCTCTAGTGGCCGGCGATAAACTCTTCAACTCTGATTAAATGATCATGAGCAATCATCATTAATGCAAGCAAGAGTATAGAATCCAAATAAACACAAACAACATATGTACAGAAATCACAGTTTTTCTCACTAATTATTCCCTTATCTAGACCCTCCAGAAAAACGCGGGCCAAAATCCTTAATTATGCGGGCTAAAATCATTGATTATGCGGGCTAAAATCCTTGATTATGGATAAAAATGCGGGGTTTTATGTGATTTTATGTGGGAAAATTGCGGGAAGTTGCGTAATATGCGGAAAGTTGCGAAATATGCTAAATTTGCGAAATATGCATATTGGGCTGTCTTATTTATTTATTCTCTCTCACACACAACCTGCCACAAACGTTAAACCCCTTTACTATTCAATATTAAACACATTCAATGTTTATTTATTGTAAAAGCAATTGGGCTATTTTAATCTCACACCCCCCCCACACACACACACACACACACACACTTCTCCGCCTCATTCTGTTTTCATTTACTCGTTCGTTATCTGACCAGCTTCAATATTGTAGGCTACTCACCTCGTTTCTTGCAACCCTCGAAAGGGTTTTGGAGGTTGAAGCCTCTGTGAGCGTGAGTTGCTTGGCTTTCTTGTCCGCAGCAGAAACCATTTTTGAATGTTTGAGCGAATCGAAGTGGGTATTCACAGTCGATTTCCTTTTATGCTCTAACACACAGTTGCACGGGGTACAGAACAGTTTCCCCCCACTTTCGTACAAGACATTGGGGTACTGCTTTGCCCGGTCTTTAGCTGAAATGTTCGTGGGTAAATGTGATGGATTCGATTTGTTCATCTTGGTGTGTGAATTCCACACCTTCACACGACGGTGTTTGCCTTCTGTGATGCGCGGGCTGATGACGTTGCGTCATCATCACTACTCGTCAAGACGAGTTAACTTTTTTATTTTTTTTCTCAACTTTGTGTGGAAAAATGCGGGGATTATGCGGCCTTTTGATAAATATGCGGACTTTTAAAAATCTGCGGCATTTTGCTGATTATGCGGGAAATTCTGCGATCGCAGAATCGCGTTTTTCTGGAGGGTCTACTTATCATAAGATCTTAGGCAACTTAGGTAGGCTATATGATTAATTCGAATGAAATGCCTTTACAGTAGGCTACATAGAAAACAAACTTGATAAAACAAGATACATTTAATAACCTTTATCATTATCAGCTCACAGAGATGGATAGTATATTCAAACGTGACAAAAAGAATGTTTTTGGGAAAGGAGTTGGAGTAAAATAGTTTTACAGTGTGAATAGATTTTTCTTTCAATCATTTACTATAGCCTGCAAGGCGTTGAGAGAATACACCCAACCTCCTCTACAATGAACACCATATAAATACAGTCTCTTATGCCCTCGGTATTTAGCTCAGTATCTGCATGTGAACACAAACTGTGCCAACGAGCCAGTGTGTGGGCAGATTGGTCAGTCAGCTGATGACTGAAGTACTCCTCACACTCTCTGTCCTCAATACATGGATTTCGTCACACGGATGATTTTATAGGGAATAACGCACAATGTGGAAAATCTCATACAAGTGCAGGAGGAAGACTCGCCGCTGTGTGGGATTTCACTCAGGAATGCGTCCTGTGTGCGCACCTGGAGCCGCCGGAGACATGCAGAGTCACCACGTTTTGTCCCGTTTCCACTCTGCTTTATGATACGGAGCCGCTGTTATCCTGGGATGGGTAGACTCGCATGGAGCTGCTGTGCCGCGGCGCTGCTGGCCATCATTAGCTCATGTCGGGCAGTCACTCTGGAGTCCATCCAGTGGAGCAGCTCCAATGCAAAGTAAGTGATGGAGCAGCTTCACACAACTTTCTGCTGCTGCTTTGTCGGCGTATAGAGGGACCTCATTGATGGAGTAAATCACGACACCACAGTTTGGACGTTTCATTTGAATGGTTTTATGTGCTACAACTATTAGTTCATTCATTACAGAATCCTTTGTTAATTGATCCATTGTTTAAATTAATTGATACATTAATGCCAATAGGGCTGCAATCAACATTTATTTTCATCATGTGTATTTTGTCAATGTTCTCAATGTCCTGAAATCCAGTGTAAGATGTTGCCTTCAACTAATTGACTGACACAACTCAACAATAAATACACATTTTACTGTCACATAAAAAAAGATGCGATGTTGAGGCTTCAATAAGGTAATTTATTGGTATATCTTTTTAAATGACTTGAGGATTAATCAACTATTAAAATAGTTGAAGATACATCTTCTGTCACTCAATTATTCAACTAAATGTGCATCTTTTAAATGTAATGTTTTTGGGGTTTTGGCCAGTTCTTCCAACTAAATCTTTGAATATGCCCACTTTGGACCTTTTTCTTTTTAAACTTGTGATGGCCATATTTGATTCCTTTATTAATTGATCTGATGCAAAGGCTTTAGTGTCTGCATAAAGTATATCTTATCTTATGTTGCAGTTGATCAAAAAAATGTTGTTGCAACAGAGATGCTTCACTCTGCATTTTTTTAAACTTCATCTTTTCACCCACTTATCTCTCACACAGATTTATTCCAGGTCAGGGTCTGGTCCTGTATCCTCAGATCGGGGACAAGATGGATATCGTGTGTCCCCGGGCAGATGCTTCCTCCGGGGGGAAAGAGGAGTTCTACCGAGTGTACCTTGTCTCCAGAAGTCAGATAGAGAGCTGCACCATCCACAAGACGGACACGCCCCTGCTGAACTGTGACAAACCTCACCAGGATGTAAAGTTCACCTTCAAGTTTCAGGAGTTCAGCCCCAACCTGTGGGGCCTGGAGTTCCTGAAGGGGAAGGACTACTACATCACCTGTGAGTCCCTCCTGTGAACACTTAGAAATCAGTAACACAGAGCCACAAGCTGCTGGTTCCTACAGGTGGAATTGAATCAATGCTAACAACTTTTTCTTTTTTCTGGTGAAATAGAAAAGGAAGCCGTCCTCCTATGGGCCCCAACTCAGTTTGTCAGCTTGCGTGAGAGTCATAAAAACGTGGCCTCGTTATTGGCCCGCTGTCGGTTAAACCAGCATCTTAGTGGCAAGTGATGCATGAGATAGAGAGCAAGTCTGACCATGTAGCCTCATCCTCCTCGCCACGATCTGACAGCACACTTCGCTCTGGCAGGCCAGTGTGATTCCAAGGGCTTACATGCCCCAAATCACACAAGGCTTTTACAGCATCAGGCAGATTTGATGGGAGCTTTCATGGCAACGTGGCTTGTAGACTGTGTGATGTTGTTATCTGACCTAAATGCTGCTAACAAGTCTGTGTGTGTGTGTGTGTGTGTGTGTGTGTGTGTGTGTGTGTGTGTGTGTGTGTGTGTGTGTGTGTGTGTGTGTGTGTGTGTGTGTGTGTGTGTGGGGGGGGGATGTGACGGGGTGAACTAGAGTTCTTAGTGTGTGTGTTTTTGTATGCATTTATTTGGTCATTTCTATGTTGTTTAAAAAAAAACACATGTATTCTCTTTGTCAAGCAGACATTTTGCATTTACAGCCGAGACGTTTAGTCAGTTTAACATGAATATTTATGTGCAACTATTTTGATAATCAGTTCATAGTTAACGTCATTGGGAGATGCATCTGTTCTGGTTCTAGCTTCTTAAATATGAGGAATTGCTGCTTTTGCTTCTAATAAGTGAAACCAAATATATTTTATTTAAGGACTGTTGATCAGACTCCGCAGACAATATGAAGACTTCTCTTTGGGCTCTTGGGATTGTCTGACAATATATAAAACAATCAATCAATAATTAACATTTGGTGCAGCCCTAGCACAGGATCGGTTGTTTGGTTGTTTATACGCTTGTGATTATCTACTAAAAGTAACATCTGCATTCTCTTGCCTATGATGCAACATTTGGCAACTGGCTCAAATGTCTGCAAAGATCATAATGGGATTTCTTAAATATCTACAATTATGATGATTGCATGACAAATAAAATGTTAATGTTCTTCTCTCTGTATGTCAGCCACCTCTGCAGGGTCTCTGCAGGGACTGGATAGCACTAATGGAGGGGTGTGTAAAACCAAATCCATGAAGCTGGTGCTGAGGGTTGGCCAAAGTAAGTGCTGTGTGTGTGTGTGTGTGCGTGCGTGCGTGCGTGCGTGCGTGCGTGCGTGCGTGCGTGTGTTTGTGTGCCAGCATGTGTGTAAATCTGTGTTTGCAAATAAAAAAAGAACCACAGCTATCTGACTAACAAAGTTAAAGTAGTGATGGCAATAGTTTTATTCTGGTTATATTAAGCAAATAGTATTACCACCTCGCTGGTGTTATTAAGTGGTCAGATAGTCTTGATGATCTATTCATTCTCTCACAGAGAGATTGCGTGAATCATCTCAAAATCCCTAATTCAAAGCGCTGGCAGCTTAAGGCTTCAGTATTATCCCTCATGCAATCATTCAGACTGTGGCGTTCAATAATCTTTCTTTCCCCTGTATTAACATCAGAATAGCCAGTGGGCCGTATCATTCTTGTGCTCTTATAACATACATTAACATTTAATAAAGCAGATATGGAACATATTAACTGAGGAACACGATAAATGCCCTGCGTTTACATCTCTCTGCTACATATTATGGACACAGAAACCTAGCATTTTTAAATGTGTTATTAAAACTGTCATTACAAGCCTTAAGGAGGTTTAATTTATTTAGCTGCACGAAATCAGAGTTATACAAATTCTGTGTGTTGCTAAAAACTTTAAAAGCTGAATCTCTTAAAGCTCCAACATCCAATCTTTGACCTCAGAAATGTGAAGTATTATTCAAATAAATTATTCAAGGATTTGAGGGGAAAAATAAACATTTTGTGTGTTTCTTAACTGATCCTTATACTGCAAATATGGGGCTTTTTTCTTGCTGTACAGTCTGCTACTGATGTAAATACACCTTTTAACAGCAACAGAAACATTAATCACTCAGATTTAGATTTAATCTTTGGTTAATCTGTACAGAGTTTCTGCAGTTTAAGGTCTTGTGTTTAGATTAATTTGATGTCACTACCCTTCTGTTTGGATTTGGATTTATGGGTTGTACATTTTCAAAATATGATGTGGCGTACATTAAATAAAAAGGATATGTGAGGAAACATTTTATTAAAGCCAGTTTTGAATTAGTGTTACATACAGAAATGTTGATTCATGTGTGTTGTCCTCATAAAATATACATTTAATCCTGAATTAAGAGAGAGAATTTCAAATGTTATTTTATTTAACAGGTCACTGAGAGGCCAAAGTGTGTGCGTCTACTGCGATACTTTTCATTTGGGAAACTGCTCAGTGTGGACACTTTGCACATACAAGAATATCTGAATCTATGATGTCAAATGAATTCCTACAGTCCTTCTTTTTTACGTGAAGTGTTGTTTGTATCTCTTGTCTAAAGGCATCATGTTTTCCGCCATATATAACTCCACTTATGTCATGTTGTACTTATAAAGAAGAGAGTCTTTTGAGAGACTTACAAAATAGAACTTCACTTAAGTAAAAGTAGCAATAAGCAATTTAAAATTCTCAATTAGAAGTCAAAGAATCCTGCATGAGTTCTGTACAATTACAGAAGTATGATCAACATTTTTTATTCATATTCTATTGCTAATAACGATTCTTCAGTGTGTAAGCAGCATTTATGTTGGAGCGGGTTGAGGGGGGGCTGATTTTAACTTTTTAAACACAGATTCCTACACTCAAAACTATTTGTCCGTTGACTTAAATAAATGTATTATGTAAACAGATAACACATAATTGTATTAGGTTAGTTGATAGCAATAGGTTCAACTTAATAATATTGCTTTCAACTAACCTAAATACAATAGTGTGGAACCTGTTGACATAATACATTTAATTGAAGTTGCTGATCGTGTTTATCAATACTTTTTTTAGACTTTGCATAGATTTTGATTGCTTTCTTTTGTGAAATATTCAATTGCTTCTCCTTTTTTTGGCCTTGAATGGTATGAAAGGGTATATGTCTTTTTGGTTTAACTTCTACATTTCAACATCTGAATAGTGACAAAGAGCCCATTAACCCTTTTTGAAAGGGTTTTGCCAAAAAAGCTGGAAACAGCTGTTTGAATCCAACAATGTGTATTTTATAAGCTTATCATCATTTTTCAAAAGGTAGTAACAGTTGTCAGAAACATGTAAAGGAGAAAAAAGTATGATTTTTAACTGAAATATAGAGAAATATAAAACAATACTGGACATGGTTAGCTCGGTAAATGTTTTTTAGGCTGTAATATGATCTGTCATTCTAGCCACAGAACGTTTTGATTTTTGATTCCCAAAGTTCCTTTTGGAAAAACCCCAGTGAATATGAAGACACAAATGTGTAGATGGAGAAAGTGAAAGCATTTTTTTTGTGTTAATGGTAGTTTTTCCAGACAAGAAACAAAGAGTTTTGTGACTCAGAACAAAACATTTATTTTGTTCAATAAGGTTACTGACGCATTTTTACCTGAATGACCTTTAAGAGTAATATAATCAGAAAACCAGGCAGAACAACCTCTTCTATGAATCTGACATCACAGATTATGATTCAACAGACTTCATTATAAAGAAACATTTTGACATGACACATTCCTTCCTACATACCGCCATATGGGGAAAGTTAGGAGAAGTGATGAATGGCACAACAAGCTATATGTTGTGATTCTATTTCAAACTGACTGGTTCTATTTTCCAGGCTCTTCAGATCCACCTTCAACCCTCCAGGAGTCCCCCACCAGATTTCCACCCACACGTCCAAAGTCCAAGAACCCCTCTGCAAAAGACAAGGATATAAAAAGCACAAATGGTATGAAATCAATTACCTTAAAATAAGTATACGTGTGTAACATTTACAAGAGCTTTACAATTATTAGACTATTATTATATTTTGGCAGTTTTAGCCAAATAAATCAATTGGCTTTCCAAAGTTTGACTGAAACAACATCCCAGATATTGTATATTTCTTGTTAGTAGGAACTTGTATGTAAGGTAAGAGTATATAACATTGTTAGCTATTTCATTAGACAATAAGGGACAGTCTTATTGTTTCCACACTCCAACTTGTACCCAAACCTCCCCGAATCATGACTCTTTGGTCTCTAGAGAAAGTTAACAGGCTAAGGATTAGCACAGGGAGACTTTATGGTTCTCTTTATGGTTCTCTGCCCTGGGGCAAAATGACAGGAGGCCAGTCACAGGCAGCAGCCATGCGAAGGTCAGATGGATGCAGGGGAGTTTAACGATTTGAGGACATCTGTTGGGGGGAATGTGAACTTTTTTATTTTTTATAAACAAGCTCTTTTTGTTTATTGTAGGGCTTTTCATGCAGTACCTTTAAGTTAAAAGTTAAAAAAAAGATTCACATCGTGAGATAATTTATTCGCATTGTTAATCCGAAAAAATGGCCCCCATAAATCGACTATCACTGGATTAAAGCATATTCTCTGATGCTTTTCCTGAGGCTTTTCATGTTAACACATTATGATCATGATTCACCAGGGCATTAACTGAGAGAAAATGTTTTCAAATCGTTGTGCCGGTTGCCCAAGTTCACCCTCAGTGTCTCCTCTTTCTCTCCCAACAGGACCAACAGACCCCAGCTCTGGGCCACCACTGCTAATGTGGGTCATTTTTGGAGGTGTTATCCTCCTTCTCGTCATCATCATTTTGGTGGTGGTGCTCTGGAGGCGCCGGAGCCGGCAGCGTGACCGCGTGCCAGACAGCCATCAGTCTGCCTCCGTGTCCCTCAACACTTTGTCTGTGGCTAAGCGGGACAGCATCAGCAGCGAGAACAACGGCTCGGACCCCAGCGACGTAGTCTTCCCTCTGCGGGCGTCTGAAAGCATGATCTGTCGGCATTATGAGCGTGTGAGCGGGGACTACGGCCCCCCTGTGTACATAGTTCAGGAGATCATGCCCCAGACTCCCACCAACATGTACTACAAGGTCTGATGTTTGCTGATCTAATGCCAGACTCTGACTGATGTTCCTAAACTGTCTGGGACACGAAGCATTTCTATTGCTTTAGATTTCAATTGTGTTGCACAGTAGGTGTGAAGAAAAGTCACATGGGGATCATCCATACATCAGATAGCATTACTGCACTGCACATACTTTTTCTTTTGTGAAGAGAGACAATCAGAGTCAAAGTGTTGCGTCTTACACATCATCCAGCAAACGCCACAGGATGTAACTTAATAGCCCACTGTACAATTTTGAGGTAAAATTGTAGTCTTTACAGGGGGAAATATTGTGCTTTTCACCTTACTACATACAGTAGAAAATGGAAAAGTGGACACCTACAAACAAACAAGATTTCTGGCTCTCACAGACCTGTAACTTCTTCTTTAAGAGCCTCCTCTGTCCTCAATTGTTAAATGTATTAATGGCACCTGTTTGAACTCGTTATCAGTATAAAAGACACCTGTCCACAACCTCAAACAGTCACACTCCAAACTCCACTATGGCCAAGACCAAAGAGCTGTCAAAGGACACCAGAAACAAAATTGTAGACCTGCACCAGGCTGGGAAGAGTGAATCTGCAATAGGTAAGCAGCTTGTTGTGAAGAAATCAACTTTGGGAGCAATTATTAGAAAATGGAAGACATACAAGACCACTAATAATCTCCCTCGATCTGGGGCTCCACGCAAGATCTCACCCCGTGGGGTCAAAATGATCACAAGAACGGTGAGCAAAAATCCCAGAACCACACGGGGGGACCTAGTGCAATGACCGTATCTGTCAAATGACTGTAAATTAAATTTGAAATTAGTCTGATCATCTGTTGATGTCATGGTTTAACATTTTCAAATGTGATGCTTTGCTGCTTTTCTTTGTCTTAAATGAAAGAAACTGAAACATTTTCATGTCGGAACTGTTGGTTAAACACGACAAGACATTTGAAGCTGACACTTAAAACACTGGGTTATTGTAATCTTTTCTCACAATTTCCTTACAAACCAACATTTAAATGGATTTGATCAAATAATAATAAGTAGATCATCCAAAATGAAAACAACAGTTTTTCACTCATGAAAACTCATTTTTCACATTGAACTCCTTCCTTTTTTATTTTAATACGAAATTACGTTTTCCTGATACATTTTCTTTCAAATGCTGAACAATAACTTGTGAATGAGTATCTTTTAAAGTGGTGACATTTGTATTGAAGTGAAACATCTGAGGACCTCCTCCACAGTATAATTGTTTCCGTTTTTATTATTCAAGATCAATGATTTTATCCCTCACTGTCACTGCACATGGCAGCTTCAATTACACATATATGCTTTTTATTTAATTATATTGGTACATTTGTAAATGGATTGGTCGTGCACTTTGTTCTAAATCCTGTTGGATGATCAATCTCTCTTTTCCGGGACTTATGTTTGAAAATAAACCTGTTTAGCTGTGTTCAATAAACAGCCAGGGGGCCATGTTAAAAAAAAATGTAATTACTCAAAATCGGATGTTATTATTTTGTACTTGTTAAAGGTGTAAAATTACAAAAAAAACTCCAAAACAACTTAGTAGCCTCTTGTTCAGTGTCTGCTTTCGCTTTAAGTGTTTTACAACTAACAAGAGCAACAGCATGTGATGGAAACACAGCAGGAGAGTTATAGGGAATTCAATTTGAATTAAAGACTGCGGATAACTTTTCTTGGACTAACAAAGTGACTGAGCGTCACAGTGCGTGATGACTTCATGCACAGCAACTTTATTTGCAAAAAGTGAGTGTAAAGACCTTCATAGTCCCATACAGCAATTGTAACCACTGCATTATGTTTAACAGACTTTTAGACATTTTCATCGCCACATGTTGGTTAATTTATTTTCAACTCAAAACCGCTCTCTGAATAATTTGGGTGGGTAGACGCTGCTCAGAGGAGCATGTCTCATCATAACTTAATGGTGCTCATGGGAAAGTGACTGTCATTCTGAAGTGAACAGCACCGTGGTGAGTTTTTTGCAATGTCTTATTAGGTTGAATGAGCAAAAAAGACACAAGATCCAAAAAGACATTTAAGCATAAATATCTCTGATTGTTTTGTACTAAACCCTTTTCTCATGTAGAATTAGAAGTGGCATCTTTGCAGTTCAACACGTGTATAATCTCACTTGCAAACTGTCAAGCGATCTGGAAAGGTAATGTAATTCCTTTTTATATACATGTTTATAACTCTCAGCATTTCAATTTCTCATTGTGTCTCCTGTGGTTCTGTGAACGGCATCCCTGGGTAAACATGTTTCATGCTCCTTCAGCCACATCATGCCACAGATTTTCAACCTGTCAGCTTCCATGAGCTTCCTCTCCACCGGGGACACTGTTGCCTCATAAAGCAAGACTGAAGGATCTCCAGGACATGTGTTTTGTGCATCAAACAAGGAGACTGCTCATCTAACATTAAACAGAATATTAAAGCTATTTTCGTTCTTTGAAAGTCTACTGAAGGAGAACATTGTAAGGTAAGTAAACACATTTCTGTAAAACAGGCAATTCAAAGGGCTGTAGATAAAAGAGTTAAAGCTCTGAGACAAAAGGCAAAAGATTAAACCTTAAATAAGATGAAAAATAATAAAACATGTAAAAAATACCAGCAAAAGTGCATCGTAAGGAAATTGTTGATTATTTGGCCCGTGATCTGCAGCTCTTGATAATAGACTTTGTAATGAAGAACTGCCCGCCTGACATGGATAGTGTCATTCTTACCCTGCAGCAAAAAGCTATTTCACCTCAGGCAAGTGACGTGTTTAAAAATATCTGAATAAGAAAATGTGTCAAAGATAACTTCAGAACTGCTTTCTATAATTGGCTTCCTTAATAGACTAGCGGGTCTCGTCTAATTTAAACCATGATGTGTTGAATAGGGAACACATCCTGGCTATCCAATGATACAAATTAGATTTCCAGAATTGTAATTGTTGAATGTTTTACTAAAACATATCTCTTTGGCTGACAAAACATGTCATTTAAAGACAGCTGGGCTTTGACAAACAGGGATGGATATTTGTCATCATTTTCTGACATTTTATAGTCCAAATGTTTTATTGATCAATTGAGATAATAATTGCTGCCTCACTGCTATTGTGCAAAAACAATGCAACACAAATGAGCTTCTGACTGTGAAACATTACAGAGCATGTTCGTTGTGTGTGTGCATGTGTGTGTGTCCTCCCACCCCCTCGCCTCAAGTGATCCTTGCTCTTGTGAGATGTGTTTCTCCTATGGAGTTTCACAGCTGAATAGGCCGTGGTTGGGCGAGGTGAGTTCAGTTGACCCCGGGGTCAAACAGAGACAATGGTGGTCAGGCTTCCTTAGGAAGAACAAAACAGGGACCCCCAGGCTCATGGCCCCTGTAGTGGGAGGGGCTTGGATCCAGCAGGCCATTTTGAAGAAAGAGGCAAAAGTGGTGCTGCATGATGCATCCGACGGGATGTTTTGGATTTGAAATAAAGGCCTGAATGTCACAGATGCTACCAGCTTGGTGTTTTAAGATACATTTTACCTTGGAAGTCTTCTGGAGAAATATATGGATTTAATGCATTTCCTTATTCTTTAAACAGTTATATAAAAAATCTTCTACATGCTTTTGCAACTGATATACCTAAGTCTTTGTGGAGAGAGCATAAGAGGAGGGGGAGGTCTTATAAGGAGAGCTGCAAGCTTTTATCTGACCCCATGGGACGAGGAGAAGTCTGCAGCCTCCCTGCGTCCACCCACCCCCCACCTCACTTCCATATGCAGAGGAACTGGCCCTACCGCTGCTTTTGTGTGGGGGGTTGTGGGTCATGAGTGAGCGCTCCTACTCCCACCGTGTGCCCAGAGATGTTGGAGAAGAAGAACAGATATTGTGGTATCAGGTTTAAGTTTTATGTGTGTTGGTCAGTTGGAGGAGTGTGTGTGAAGAGCAAATCACACACACATTTTCATTGAAGTGACAACCAAGAGTAATTTACAGCAACATGCAGAAAATAGATTTTACAGTTAAATAACAAGATTTTTCAGCAGCTGCGGAAACACGCGGAACATTCTTTGAAACTCAATAAGTTGCATAAAGCCGACTCTTTCTTTAAAAACAGAAGCTGGGAAGGGGAAGTTGTGGTTAGTGCTTCCTCTCTACAGTTGAAAACCATTCATGACTTTACAGTAGTTAGTTTGCTAGTTCCCTCTGCTGGCCACTATCGTACTGTATCACCCTGCTACAGTATCAAAGTGGTGATTTAATGGACTCAACACATGATAATAATAATAATATAAAATAACTAACGGAAAGCAGAAGATGTTTTGATTCTTAAACAGCACATCTGGACAATAGCAATACCCCGCTTTTAATCAGAAACAGGTTCATTTGCCTTGGTGTATGTTGAATACAAAAACACAGTCAAAGAAGATATATAGTAAGAAAGGGACCAACACAATTAAACTATTATAAAAAACAATTTTAAGAAAACTATTATAACATTAAAATATAGCAATATTTACATGAGATAGAGATCAAATATAGATATACCCGTGAAAATTAAATTAAAAAAGAATTATAAAAAAAGAACTCAGACCTCATCTAATTACCCAAAGGTTGCATTTGTGAATTTAGAAGAGATCATCCCTTGTTTCTTTGTTATTAAACTCCAAAGAAAATGGACCGGAGTAATCTTGAAATACACTTGTTTAATCATTTATGCAGTGAAGTTGCATATTTGTGGTCTAAACAAAAACAACCTAATTGGAAGGATTGGTTTTGCTTGCTCTTAAAGCTGCAGGGGACGTATAGCTTATAGAGTGGTGTTAAAAGTATTCAAAACCTTTAATAAACTTTAAAAGAACCATGACAACAATGTAGAAAATGTAAATGATTCTGTTTTGTATTTCATACGGTTTCTTTTGGGCAGCTTCATTTAAAAAGTAGTAATGTGTTGTTGGACAAATTATGTGGAGCAAAATGTGACAATGTTTTCCTCTGAAATGAAGTAGCACAAAAAGGATATACTTAAGAAAATGAAAAAGAGCTTACCAGTCTGAGAGTGGCAAACTCATGTGAATGAAGTGGCTATTTCAGTTATGTCATTTGAATAATCTTAAATTAAAAGATATTAACCTTACCATCCAATTGATACAATTTTCTATAAGATTTTGTCTCATAGTAAATAGCTGTAACTCTTTTTGGGAACATTGCAAATTCAAACTTATTAGAAAAAACGAAAAACTGAAGTTTGGGAGCTTGAATTCAATATAAAAGTCAGTTCTGCAGAATGCAATAAAACATATGAAACATGCATTATTTTATCAACGTAAGGTTTTTGTTTAACTGCAAAACATTTTTTGAATTATTTAATTTCATACATTCAGATT